TATAATATATATTTGTATACATATCTGTATATGTGTGTGTGTGTGTGTGTGACTATATATATATATATATATATATATATATATATATATATATATATATATATATATATATATATATATATATATATACACACACATATATACATATATACATATATATATATACATACATACATACATATGCACACGCACACGCACACGCACACACACACACACATATATATATGTAAATAAATATATAAATTTACACACACACACACATTATGAAGATACAACTATGGAATTGCAAGCAAACAACTCTTATTTTTTTTTGACAAATCAATCTTACCTCAGGAGTATAACCAAGAGAAGCTGCTAAGACATCATCAAGGTGGGTGGCGCGCAGGACTCCAGCTGATCCGAAGCGCAGATTTGAAGGACTGTGAGCCACAGTCACCTCCCCACACTGAGCTTCAATAAAAAGTATCTGTTAAATTCTAGTACTCATGGTACAATCTGGTGTACAATTTTTTTTTTTTTTATAAAAGTTTCAATGCTAGCCTCTAGGAATGCACAGGGGAGTTAGCTAAAAATAGGATTTCATCTTCACGTCTAAGCTGAAGAAGACACCCAAAAAGATTTTGAAATAACGTTCTCACTTTTCTGTAAATTTTGTATACATTATTTAATAAGAAAGTTTGCATTTGTACTGAAACAATAAATCAACTAGGTAAATAAACATTCATTTGGCATCAAGGATAAACTCTCCAAAATAAGACAGGCAACATTTTAAAGACAGTAGTGCGTTATTGCAATTAATTACTTGAAGTATTATTCATATTACATATGGTTTCTTTCTTGGTGAACTAATATGTCAAAAACAAATGCAAGTTACCAAGTATATTTTAAAGTCAGGCAGCCTGGGCTGGGGAATGTAATCACAATGTAACCAAGACAAGAAGCTGGATGTGGCCAAAGAATCTCCAGCTGAGACTGAGCAGTCAAACTTCAGATTAAGATATCATATGCTTTCAGAGCTGTAGAATATATCAAGAAATATATGACCAACAATTTTATATTCTTTATAACATGTGTATTGTCTTGATATTGTAAAATATCCTGCTGAATCCCCCAATAAATTTCTAGGGACATTTACTTCCCTCCTCACAAATATTTACAAATACTTCATCCATCACTTAAGTGAAACTGTATCTGATTATAATCAAGGGAAGGATGCATTTGACATGATGCACTTAGCCAATACTCATCTGTGGCTATCTGTGGCAACATCATCACCCTTTACTTTTTACATACATTTATAGCTGCCTTACTGAAGTTGTTGGCGAGTGATTTTTTTTTTTCATATAAAAGATAATTAATGTAACAATGATATAAAATGCTATCTGTGTCCAAACTGCCTTCAGTGGTTATTCATGAATTAGACGATATATTACTAGTGTGTGCCTCATAGAAAGATAAAAGGATAAAAGAAGAAGAACATAATTCAAGTTTAATGTGACACATTAAATGATCTGCAGATGTACTATTCATAACAAACTCAAATATCCTCAGCAATGGAATACATTTAAAAGCATTATCATTAATTCTATGGTAAGATATATATTTACATACTAGAAGCATCATAATAAACGTAAATGAATCCTTATAATAATGTATTGATAAATATTTGCAGGAATGATCTTGTTTATTTCCACTTTCACACCTAAAAACTAAAACATTGGTTAATGGTTTTAACTTCAAAGGTCATATAGCACTATACACAAGTATAGTAGTGAAGAAGGAGGACGGATGTCTGGGAATAGCTGACAGGACAATCATTTGGAGAGACGGAAACAGTTCTGATACAAGTATTATAGGAGGACTGAGGCTGGGTAGGAATAGGTTTGCCAGTGAGGTCGGTCAGGGTAGATACTGCAGGAGCATGGGACTTGGAAATAACTGTGACAAGGCATGAACAATCGGAATGGCTGTGAAAGGAAACCCCATGTCACAAATCTAAGTTGCTGTGACTGGGCGTGCCTATTCGGACACTGCACGTGGTGGGGGTTAATGGGGAACTTGGTCCCCTAACACCCCCTTGGGAAACACTGTCTTCAGCTTGTTATGCACAGCAAGATAGAGCTGAAACACAGGAACACTGAGTGGACTTGTCCAATTAAAGGACTTGTAGGGGGCTAAAAAGAGTACTCAAAAGATTTGTAGATGTGGAAGTAGTTGCATTATAAGGACAAGAGGAAGCAGGAGTTGAGTGATGTAGTAATGCCAGGTGTTGGACAATAAAGATAAAAGAGTAGTAATATGGGAGTAGGGGGTTGAAAATGAAGGAGACGATGGCGGATGAGGAGATGGAATGAAGGGCGTTGGGAGAGGGGGAATGAATGTTTTCTGAAAGTTGGGTCATGACCTGGGTGAGTGACGTGGGATGGACTGAGCTGACGGAAGGTATCGAGGAAGTGTAGTATTTGAAATGTTCAGAATCATGATCATGCCCCTGATAAGGGTACAAAATCATTATTGGCCTTGGTAAGCCTGGAATGTGGGGAAGAGGAATGGTTCATCCCTTACCCCATGAGGGGTAAAGGATAGATAACTAATTTAGGGAATACCATGCCCATGGCTCCCTGAGGCTATTCAGGACTAACCCAAAGCCAATCTCATATTCTTTCAACATGGCCCTCACATCACAGGAAGACGCCCGAGAACGGGCCTCAAGTCTCTGTCCTCTAAGCCCCCTTCAACAACAAGCATAGGAATGGGGGTGGGGGGAACTAAGAAATTGTTTAAACAGTAAGTTTAGTTTAGTTTTTCTTATTACATCAAAATTTGAAATTTGAAATTCAGATAAAATTATATAGAGAATGGATTTTGTCAAAACAGCTTTCCACGCTATTTTAAAACAAATAACTTCTTTTAACCCTGACTCAACTTACCAACATATCTCCAGATTAAAAAAAATTCTATCAATGTATTAAGTATCTACAGTTTATATTTTCATTAATCATGATTATTTAGTTCATCACTTTAAACAGCATAAAAAAAATGTATTCTGGGATTGCAACTACTACGAACTGCATCACTGTAATCAGTTAATTGTTAATTTATATTTTGCAAAATTTAATCTTCCAAATTCAGCAGTAATTATAAACCAGCCTTTTGATGTTGTGTTAGTGATAGTATAGTAATCAAATGAGTGTTAAAATCGTTTACATCTACTGCTACTTGTATTCCATTGCTGCTCTGGAATGATGGACAGTAGCTAGCCATCACTTATCCGAGACACTATCCTATCCAAGACACTATCCTATCCGAGACACTATCTGTCCGAGACACTATCTATCTGAGACACTATTTATCCGAGACACTATCCTGTCCGAGACACTATCCTATCCGAGACACTATCCTATCCGAGACACTATCCTATCCGAGACACTTGTATTCTTGGCTTACATTTTGTCTGGGTCACGCACGGGTTTCTGGCAGTACAGTGATATTAATTAGCATAGGCAGCCTGGCTCTGGATAGGCTGATTCTTGAACCTAGGGCCTCGGCGCTCAGGGAAAGGCCAATAGCTCTTTCTCGCTCGATATACTTTGCGAGAGTGAGCTTGGACTGGTTTTAAATACGACAGAAAGTAACAAATTCTTGTAGCCAGAATATACATGGAGGTTTTTGTTTTGTTTTTGTCAGAAAGAAGAAACCAGAAGGCTGACTGATTGAACAGTGATTTACTTCCATTTTCTGCATTTTTTTTTTTTTTTTTATAGCTAATACTATTGCTTTATGTGTTTCGTATAAGGTTTACCATAGTTGTTTTTTTTTATCCATCTCTGCACAGCTTTTAATTTTGCTTCGAGATTATCACGGATTTGAGAAAAATGACACTAGATTCCCTTTCGAAAAATCATACTCGATCAATTCATGGTTTCTCTCCTTCTGATTTACCAATTTTCGACTTAATACATTCCTAATACATAAATACATCATCCTTAATTGTAAAAAAAACTCACCAAGAGAAGCAGAATATCAGAAAATTTATCAAAATCTTTACCAACATCATCTCCATCCAAGAGTGACTGATCTCCCTTCCACACAAAAAACACCTTTAACCAAACACCAATGAACCCAAACCAAATAATAATCAACCACTAATTAAAACCAACACTCATACAGCAATCCTGCCAAAAAACGGTACAAATTAAGCCCAAATTACCCGTGAAGAGGAGAGAGAAGAGCGAGAGCCACCTGACCGCCTGACCTTCCATCTTGACTGAGGCTCAATCAATACGAAGTCATAGAAAACGTATATTTTGATGCTTTTTTCTGTTTGTTGATGCTTTTCTTTCGTATATTTTGCTCTTATGGGTTTGTGAGGAGAGGTTTGATTTTTTTGGGTGGGATTAGAGAAGAGGAGAGGTTGTTTTAGAGGGAATTTAAGGGATTTTGTGGATATTCCCGTTTTCTCCCGTCATGTGACAGATCGGTTTTCGATTTCTAATTTTGGATTTTTTTCTTCTCCGGGGATGGGTCTTTTGTTTATTTATTATTGCCACTAAGTCTATTTAAAATCGAATAAGACGAATTTTGATAAGACAAAACTCCAAATACTTTCATTTTATAGAATTAAACACGCAAATAAAGCCCATCCGGCAACCGCACCCATCACATGACTCGAAACAAACTGAAAGAAAATTCACAAATCTCTTCCATTTAATCCTAATAACCTCTCAAAAAAGGACGAGGGACGAGAAAAAAACGAGACCTCATTACCCTATAATCCCTCATCTTTAGAGAAAAATAAAAAGGAAAAAAAATAAAAAAAAGAGAGAGACCTCACTACCCTATAAATCCCCTCTTCTTTTAGAGAAAAAATAAAAAGGAAAATAATAAAAAAAATCCAGACCTCACTATCCTATAAATCCCCTCTTCATTTAGAGAAAAAATAAAAGAGGAAAACATAAAAAAAATAAAAAAAAACAAAAAAACAAAAGAAATAGGAGAAGCGCGCGTGCCATCTTGACAAGGGTGAAGGGAGGAGGAAAGCATCCCTTATTTCATGGTTTTTCTCCCTTTTTTCACCCTTTTTCACCCTCCGCGGGGAACGCTCTAGGTGAGAGAGAGTCAGAGGAGTCTATTGGAACAGGTTGAGGTGTAGGAAATAAGGTAAATAAGGGAGAAGAGAGGTTTAAATACGAGGGTTTTGGGCAAGGGGGGATTCCTCGAGATCGTGTTAGGTATTTGGATGTAGATATTTTTTTATGTTTTTATTTTTTTCGGGTGTTTTGTGGTTTTATTTAAACTGTCAAACGGTGGGAGAAGGTCGGATTTATTGCTTATTTTCTTCTCAAAAAGTTATAAATGCTTTGGACGAGGAGGTTCGTATTAAAAAGGGAATTGTGTGTATTTTCTCACTTAATCCTCTCTTGTTTACTTTCGTTATTTTCTCTTTTATTTCCCTTGTGTTTGTTAATTTTTATTTGTATTTGTTTTCATGAGTCTTTTGAATTATTCTTCATGTCATCAGTGAAAAATCTGAGAGTAATTAACTTTGATAGGAGGTTTAAATGATTCAAGAACATGGAACTGTTGCAGAATATTCATGCATTTTCTTATTATTTTATTTTATTGCATTATTTTATTGATTGATTGAATGCAATTGATCTCTAAGACAAAGAATAAAGTATGAACAGATTTTTAATAGTATGGTTACTCAAAAAAAAAGAATAGTCTTGAGGAAAAAGATGATGTAGAGGTCTTGATAATTTTCATTTAAGAAAAGTATGATTTAATTGATTTGATTAGATGGTCATGAAAAAAAAATATATATTCATGACTTGAAATGAATTTTTGATTGATATTATCATTTTTTGTCTATTTTTTTCAGTACTTGCAGAAGCTAGCTTTTTTTTGTTTGATTTAATTAAGAATTTCTGAGTGTCTGGTACATGTAGTTTTTACAAAATACTTTTTCATAATCAGTTTACAGATAGAATCATAGGGAATGTTATTGAGATTATTTTTCTTATCTTTTATTGTGGAAGATATGGATATTGTCAGTCTTATCTAGTATAAAGACAGTTCCACAGCTTCATCTCTTAGGTAATAGATAAAATTACAGTTTTCTCCAAAGTTTATAATGATATATTCCCTAGTATTATAATATTGAATGACATCCTAATCACTGCCAATTGCTATTTATATACTGAGAAAGTTTAAATGCAAAAAGTTAGAATTGTCAGATTTTATAGTCATTAAACTAATATCACAGATTTATTGTTTAGTAAATCTGAACCTGTATCTGAAACTATACAGGGCATATACATGATGGTTGAGAAGAATGAATGGTCATTAATATGTAGCCTGTGCACATTGATCCAAAATGCAATTGCCAGCATTTTGCAAAGATAAAGGATAATATCTGTTGTCTCTCCACCAATCTCATTTTTTTCACATGTCCCTTCTTTTTTTTTATATTTTTGTCACTCCTTATTTGTTATTTTGCTTCTTTATCTGCAATTGCTTTATACAATCCTGCGAGTTATTAGACTCGTACAATAGAATGATTTACTCTTTATCATCTTCTCAAAGGGAAGCAAGGCCGCAATGGCAGCCCTGGAAAAGCTCGTCCGGGCCTTTGAGGCAGTGAAGCTGTCTCAGGGGAGCCCAGCCGGTGGTGGGGGCTTGGTACCCGGTGGGGGCAGCCAGGGACTCGACCAGCGACCCCAGGAGCACACCAGCACCATGGCGTCCTTGGCGTCTTCCCTCTCACAACAGAGTCAGGGGCTCCTCAGGTATGTGGAGTGCGGGGATTCTTCCCTTTCATTTTGGGCTGTGATACTTCCTCTAAAAATGAAAGGAAATTACTGATTCCATTTATTTTTTTTCCTTAGCTTCTACTTTTCTTTAGGCAAATCTATGTATGTGCCTCAAATATAATTAATCACTGTATGAGAATATGACACCAGTAATGTTTTATATTTCCAGTAAAAAAGACCAGGTATTGAGTACAAAGGAAAAAGCTGCCACCTGTACTGTCATAGCTGATGCTCTCGTAGGGGCCAAAAGCACAGATATTCAGAAGCTGTTGTCAGTGGGCATCGAGACTCTCCTGCTTCTCACAGCTGACACAGACCCTGATGTGCGGACAAATGCAAACGAGTCTCTCAACAGAGTCATCAGAGTGAGTAAATTGAGGTGTTTGATTTAGAAGTAGGTGAGTGAGAGAAGGAATAAGTAAATGAAATATAAGTGAGAGAGGAGCATGCAAGAGAAAAAGAGTACTTTGCTGTAAGATGATATATATATATATATTTTTTTGCATTGGACTAGCTTTCTTGATAAACAGTATATTATATATATTGATCAATTAAATCCAAGACACTTTTAATCTGTGGAATATCTTATGCAAATTAAAAATAGAGAGAAGTTATGAGTTATATATGTGTATATATTATATATGTATTTATTATATATATATACGTATACATATATATATGTATATATATATTATCATAAATATATGTATCTATTTTATATATATTTATGTATCTATTTTATGTATATATATATATATATATATATATATATATATATATATATATATATATATATATATATATATATATATATATATATATATGATAAAGAAAAAATATATATGTGTACATGTATATATGTATATGTATATGTATATGTATATGTATATGTATATGTATGTATATGTATATGTATATGTATATGTATATGTATATGTATATGTATATGTATATGTATATGTATATGTATATGTATATGTATATGTATATGTATATGTGTATATATATATATATATATATATATATATATATATATATATATATATATATATATATTTATATATATTTATATATTTATATATATAAATATATATATATGTATATGTATATGTATATGTATATGTATATGTATATGTATAATGTATATATTATTTATACTATTTCTACTTGCTACTTCCTGATAGGAAAATTATTAGAATTTTTCATTACACCAGAGCCTCTCAGAGACACAGCTTGGTAAGATCCAGGTTGAGCTATACAAGGAAATAAAAAAGAATGGATCTGTAAAAAGTCTAAGGGCAGCACTGACAAGATTTGCCGCTCTGTGTCATCATATCAGGTATGATGTACATGTATTTTTTTGTTTGATATATGTTCAAGGGATTCTGTTTATAGAAAGTATTTCGTTTGATGTAGTTGGTGCCATACCACTATTGTGGGTTAACATTTTTGAAGGTATACATCAAAGAAAAGTAAAGGTCCAACAGAAAATTCATCATTTTTCACTGTTTCCAGACCTCAGAAAGGCAGAGCTTATGTTCAAAACCTGTTGCCATACATCACAAGAATGGCCCGCAGAACAGAAGAGCCCCTGCTGGAGACACTAGCTAGCTCACTTGAGAAAATCATGCCGGTCTTAGGACACTTCACAAACGACAATGAGATCAAGAATCTTCTTAAGGCATTCTTGCACAACCTCAGCAGCACCTCGTCGGCCATTCGTCGCTCGGCAGTGACCTCTCTCATTGTGCTTTGCTGCCACTCGCGGAAGCCACCCATGTTCTTCGGTTGGCTGTTGAGTACAATCCTTCAAATCTTGGTACCTGTTCAAGATGACATCCCAACGAGCCAGGTTCTTGGATGCCTTCTCTGCATGCGATCACTCATGCCTCATATTTGGGAACAGTGTTCTCCCTCGCTTCCCTCAGAAGGGCAACAGGCGCAGCACTCCACTCAGCTGCAGTCTTCTGATTATGCAATTTCATATGACCAAACACTTCAGGTAAATAATGGCAAAAAATATATTATGATACTATTATATGAAGATATTTTAGGACTCAAGGCAATAGAGGTTGAGTTGTGGGAGGTGCTAGAAAATGTTATGATGTATGTTGTGTCACAAATCATGGAAATTTTGATTTTTATGTATTGTTTATATTTTTATTACATATATCAATTTTTTTTCTTCTACTACTAGTTGACTATTAGTAATAAGATATGACTGTTAAATTAGAAAAAATTATCTGGTGATCATATTGTTTTCACAGGTGTATGAGCTTTGTTTGCATTATAGTTCCCACTCAGACCATAATATCATCACAGCAAGTCTTGAGGCTCTCCAGGTAAGAAAGAACCTCATAGAAAATTTTCTTTGATGTTTTTATATGCTATGTTTCTGCACAAGTACTCTCTCAAATATATTAATTGAAGTTTAAGAGACGGTGGCCCCTTAGAGTCTTATTCAAAAGTGTTACTTCAGCAGAATAATATTTCTTTTTTTTTTTTTAGACTTTGTTGCAGAACCCTCCTCTTGCTCTCCTAATGACTCTGACAGCACCAGAAGGCATCACAAGATCGAGGATCTTTGCTGACCCGAGAGCCAGTCAGCTATCTTCAAGAGCACCAAGTAAGTTCCTTGGAATGTTTTCCACTTGTTGTCCTTTGATTTTGGTACATTAGCAGCCTGTTTACCTGAGGTGCACTGTTACAGCACTGACACTGCTGTCATAATTGTTTTTATATCTATATATCATCTTCTTTGTTACTGAAACAATATTTATTTTCCTGATTTAAGGTAGTTCAGATATTGATAATCATTGTGATATCTTAGTTTATGATGTTTTTTTAAATTTGCTGAATGTTTAGTAATGTAACCTATACCTAAATACAATGCATTCAGTTGTCTCATGAGCAGTTAACTGTATTGTATTGTGATTCCATAAATGCAGTTGAAGTTTTCCACCGAAAGAGTCACAGTTAACTCATTGGCTGTAGATTACATTCTTTCACTGTAGGTATTTTGTGAAGTTTGTTGCCCTCAGATGGCTCCACAAGTGCTCAGCCCCAATGAGTCAATTAGTAAACCCTATGACTGCCCCTGATTTCCCCATTACTTTAATATTTGGCTTTTTTTTTTTTTTTAGACTTTGTTGCAGAACCCTCCTCTTGCTCTCCTAATGACTCTGACAGCACCAGAAGGCATCACAAGGTCGAGGATCTTTGCTGACCCGAGAGCCAGTCAGCTATCTTCAAGAGCACCAAGTAAGTTCCTTGGAATGTTTTCCACTTGTTGTCCTTTGATTTTGGTACATTAGCAGCCTGTATACCTGAGTGCACTGTTACAGCACTGACACTGCTGTCATAAATTGTTTTTATATCTATATATCATCTTCTTTGTTACTGAAACAATATTTGATTTTCCTGATTTAGGTAATTCAGATATTGATAATCATTGTATATCTTAGTTATGATGTTTTTTAAAATTTGCTGAAGTGTTTAGTAAATGTACCTATACCTAAATACAATGCATTCAGTTGTCTCATGAGCAGTTAAACTGTATTTTATTGTGATTCCATAAATGCAGTTGAAGTTTTCCACCGAAGAGTCAACAGTTAACTCATTGGCTGTAGATTAACATTCTGTTCACTGTAGTATTTTGTGAAGTTTGTTGCCCTCAGATGGCTCCACAAGTGCTCAGCCACCAATGAGTCAATTAGTAAACCCTATGACTGCCCCTGATTTCCCCATTACTTTAATATTTTTGGCATTATGATGATTATGATGTTCTTGAAATACTACTTATGGTAAAAGATAAACAAGATTATTGCCAAAACTCACAGAGAAGGGGAAACAGGTGAGATAGGTAGGACTAATAATTGACTTCCTGGTGACTTGAGGGCTGGATGATGTGAACATACTGTCATTGAAAAATCTGGCTGTGGACAGGGTGATGTGAATTTGCCATAGTGAGCATTTTGGCTGAAGGCTAGGGTGATGGGAAAGACTTGCCATGAATGCACTAACCTTTTGGAGAGTGAATAGACTCATTTAGCATTTATTATTATTTTTTTTTATTTCCGTTAATAGATGAATTTGCAATGTAGTGTCTGTGAGCCATAACTGTCAATTGCCAGATATGGACATTGGAAACTAGCAAAAAGGCTAAAAGTGCTTATGTATAATAAGAGAAAAAAAATGTTGCAAAGGGGAGGCATATAATTTTGTCACTGCACATGAGTGTTTGTGTGTGCCTGGCCTTCAAGCCGCATAGCCATCAGAGCGGCCACTTACGTAAGCCTAATTGCTGTATTTTGGGTCATGTGATTACTGTGAAGCAAGCAGATTCAGTGAGTTAATACCTAATTGCAAAGGACATGGCATGTATGTCAAGCCATCTACAATCTGCAATTTGATTTAAGATCAGAATTTCACATTCATATAAAGAATTGATGATTGATGAAAGATTGCACTACTCTGATCAGCTCTTACATATTGTAGGGTTATTGAGCTCTCTCTTTTTTCATTGTTACATGTGTTGTTAAGGAGAATGGCTCTATCACCATGGTGTCTACTCTAACCTCTGGACACACCAACATCCTAGTCAATTACATACCTAATATGCTAAATGTAACTTTTTGTTCTCCAGGTCAGGTTAGTGTTGCTCCTTCGTTATATGAAGAAGACAGTCTCCTGTTAGATCTGGAGGGAGGAAGTGGAAAGGTCAGCATAGACATTGACACACCAGATGGTAAGATAGACCTGGAGGAGGGACTCAAAGAGGAAGATGATAAAGGTGGAGGAGGAGGGGGAGGAGGAGGAGGCGGAGGAGGAGAGGGAAGGCAAGAGTCATTGACAGATGTTGACGCTGATGAGAATGACAGCAGCCTCTACTCCAGTATCGAGATTGGCAAAGTGTCAGGTGAGTTCATTCTTAGGGTTAGAATATTTGTGAATACTGTTGTTATTAATTTATATTATACCAGTATATTGAACATTGAATGTAATAAAAAAAAGTTAATTAGTGGCAATGTAAGCACACTGAAATTAATAGTTAACCCATTGATCTTTTAGGAGATGCTTCTTTGCTATTTGGAAGAGGAGAGATGGACCTGAATGGGGAAAAACGCAATGGAGATCGTGAGAAAAGGAAACACATTCAGCACATATCATCGCATTCACATAACAAATCCCTTGATGACAAAGCTATGGGTACTGATAAAGTAAGTAAAAGTATTTTCAAAGATAAATCAAGAAAGCTTTTATAAGATCAGATTTCTTTCTTTTGTATTTGGAGTGTTAGATTTTACAGGTTGAAAAACAAGTATAAAATTGCTATTGTTCAGGATCCTCAAATCTTATATGTTGCAAGTGAAAACATGACATTATTCTGTTTTTTAATTTATATCCTGACATGCTGTTTATAGTAGTAATTTAGTTAAATGAGTGATAAAACCCACATGATAAGATTAATATACTGAAGTGCATCCCTATGAAAAGTGTGGTGAGTGAGTGAGAGAAAGTATTCAGCAGTTTGATGAAAAGTAAGAGTGAAATGTGAAAATTGGTATGTGGTCTGAAAAGTTAGAGAATTGCTGTTAAAGATTGTAAATAAACAAATATTTTTGTTGAAAGTGTATACTGATGTTTTACATTATTACAGGCAGCAGGTGCCATTGGATCGTTTCTAGATGAGAGTCTCCCCATTAGATACCTTGTGCGATACCTCTCCTCCTCATTCCTCCTCTCGGGTCATGTTGGGTCGCTAATACCCGATCAGATGGTCAGGGTGAGCATCAAAGTACTGGCCCTCAACTGTGTAGGATTAGCCGTCACAGTTATGCCTTCCCTCATGGCTGAGCCTCTCTTTACCACAAGTGGAGGGGAAACTGGTAAGTGATGGCTGTATCTGCTTTGAAAAGTCTTCAAAATATATTTGTTGAATTTTTTTTTGTGTGCTATTCTTATTGGTATAAATTAAAAAAGACTTTGATCATACAGCAGATTAGTGTGCTGTTAAAGAAGTAAAACGTGATATACTGACTGAAAGCATTGATACTTTTACACTCACAATTTACTCTTGTCATGTCACTGGACTACGGTTTAAAAGGTAGATTTGGTAAGAATTTTCTGACTAGGATACAGTATAGGTCAATGTCTGAGTTTAATTGAAAGTTTTCTTTCTTACCAGAACTAGAACAACATATCGATGATATCCTGAGGTTTCACAGACACTCGGATCCTCAGCTGGGAGCAAGTGTTGGCACAGTTGTTGGCCAGTACGTCCGAGCCAGCCTCATCCATGGGTGTGGACAGTATAATGATCTTGGGAGACCTGGCTTGGCCTTGCCCTCATTGCTGGAGATATTGTGCAAGGTTGGTATATTTGCAGGGTATTGACAGAAGACAGTCCATTTATAACCTCAGTAAATGGCTGTATTACTGAATAATTATTTTTTCACTTTTATATTTATCATGTGAATGTATAAAAAAGAATTACTTCTGCTTTAATTTAATGAACTTTTTTCACAGTTACTAGGTAGTGAATCTAGTGTGACATCACGAGGAGCCGTCAGTGGCCTAGGATTGTGCCTCGGAGAACTTTTGCACTCTTGGCATGCTGGGGTAGTTCTTGCCGTCCTCCCACACCTTGTCAATACTGGCTCAAATTTATATTGGTTGGTCAAGGTAAGGAAATGTTGATTCATTTTCTTAGTGCAACATGATATTGGGTACAGGTATGCCTCATATTTAGATACTATACTATTTACTCATGCTTAAATACTATAATTCTAATACTGGAGGCTATTCAGAACAATTTCAGTGATGTGTTTGTACTTACTGAGCCAAGAATTAAAAGTAAAAGAAAAAAATTATTCTATAAAAGAGATAACTGAGCTAAGAAAAAATAATTGCATAAAAGAGATAATATTTTCACAACAGGAACTGGTGATCATATGGATTAAAGAAAGAAGGAAAGAAAAAATTGTTGAATTTGAAAGCATATTTTGTAATTGCCATAACTATTATATGCTCTCAGGGACATTGCATACAATAAAAGTTAACTGTGTGACATGTAGTTGTGGTGTATGGAGGATGTAATAAGCCATATAATACTAGAATTACTATTTGATATTCTCTATGTTTCATTCATGAGAAGATAGAGGCAGAAAAATATGACTTTGTGATTAGCTTAGGGAGAGGAGGGCCCACAAGAGGAGTATGGGGTGATGTCATGGATGTTGCTGAATTTAACTTAGCAGACAGTTCCAGATGTTTTAGCAGACAGTACTTGTATCTTATTCATAACAAAAAGTTGTGGGGGAAAAGCACATTAATTTTTGACAAGCCTTCCTTGATTGTGGTGAAGAAGACTCCCCTCACATTGTGTTTTTTCATTATCATGTTGAACAATATATGATCTGCAGTTTATTAAAATTTCAAAACCTATATTCAGAGCATCTCAAGTAATACAAATTTAAATGATATAGTGTTTATGGACTGTAAAATTTGTGCTAGTCAAAACTTTCCTTGTATAGTGTAGTCTAGCCTGTAGAAGTAATTGCAGTTGTTTTTGTATTAATGTAGTTCCATAAAATTGAAAGAATTTCTTTCATCACAGGTTGAATTGTGTGACCTGCTGGCAGGACTTCCATTAAGCTACATAGATCATGTTGAAAGCAGCAGTACATACACAAGTGCAGGTGGTGCTGTTTCAATGATGTCTTCATTGAGGCAGTCAGACAGGTTCTCTCATCGTGTTTTGACGGCAGTTTTGATTCCCTTGCTGGCAGATCAGGACCCTAGAGTTCGCACAGCTGCAGGAACTGCATGCATGAAGTTAGTACTTAAATCTGAGACATTTCAACTGTCCTTGAAGAAGAAAATCCTCTGATATTGTACATGTTATTTGAAACAAGTAAACCTTTTAGTGCTCACCAGATCCCTTCTTGATCTTTTTCAGATTGGTTCCAGAATTAATGAGCAGTGGTAATCTCATCCAGAAAGTGGCATCCAATCTAGTACGTCCGGGACGCCTCAAAGGAAAGATGGATGACTCGCAGTCTCTCCATCATCTGTCTTACAGAGGTCTGCCTTGCCTCCCTGTTCCACCCATGCATAGACTCTTCCCAGAGAGTAGACCACATATAACTGACAGGTATGAACTCTTGCAGTAAAGTCCATCTCCTTACTCATAATTGTAAATAGTTATTTGGAGAACAGATTGTAAAGTTGCCAAAATATATGTGAAATGACAATATTTCTGTTTTCTAGTGCCAGATGTCATCAGTCTTTTGGAATCTCCTTAGACTTGAAAAATGTGGGAGTTTCACAGAGCCTTTCTCGCCTCATTTATGCCTTAACAACTCATCTAATGAACATGAACAACAAGTTCCTTATGGTAAGTGTAGAGGTCTATTAATTTTTGTTTTTCTTTTATGTATTGTGTTTGGTGCTTGTAACCTAGATCTCATTATTAAATTTTTAGTCTTGCCTCTAGTCTAATGATTATTGCTTTTTCACCAGCTTGGATGTTTAGAATCATTGTCGTTGCTGAGTGAACACTATCCTCCAGTTTTGTATCCTGCTGCATGGGGTTGCCACATTCCTCAAATGCAAACAAGGTATTGTATTTAAAACTGGATCAACAGTTCAGTACAGTGGCATTGAAATTACAACATGAAAATGCATATGCTTGTAACTTCTATTCTCATTCAAAGAAATAATTTGTTCATACTCTCACAGTTGCTTGTGCACATATTTAGAGTTTCAACATTATGATTATAACCTCTCTCCACCAGTGACAGCAATATACACATTGGCCTAATCACACTGGTGCTCTCTCTGGCTGGTGAGGCACCACTGGCTGGAGACCTCAGTGTTCAACAGAACATTCTGACTCTTGCCTCGAACATCCTCACTGGTAAGATGAATATATATGTATCTGAAAAGGAAAACAGTCACAATAAGAAATGAAATGAAATTGCACCGTTTCAGAATGTTCATGAGTTTCTCATCAGACAAATAATTAACTGAAATAGATCCATTTTGGTTAACCATTCATCTGATCAGGAAGTTGTGAAAATTTTGAAATGTTATGATTTAATTTTATTTCTTATTGTGACAGTTTTCTTTTTCATCTTTGTATACATGTTACTGTGTCTGTGTTAGTGTTCGCGTTTGTATCTGTTTACATGTGTGTGTGCTTGGGTAGATGTGCTTGTACTTTGCAGGTGTATACTTATGTGTATGTGTCTTTGTTTATATAAGTATATTTGTAATGCATATTTCATCCTTCCTCAGGAATTGCTGTTGAGTCGTTGAGACATGGAAGAGATGACGTATCAACGTCTAAAGTGCCATGGTCTCTATTAGGATCCCAACAGGTAAGGTTCATTTTATAGTCAGTATTCTAGCATTTCCAGTCTTCTTTCTATAGATTTTATGAATTTTATTATATATGAGAATCTAGAAATACTAAATGTTAAGGTTGAGTAGCTACACCAGTTACATCTTGCTGTAAAACCATGTCAACTTACACAGTACAATCTATTTTGGGAATACAGATGTCAACAGTGGTGGAGGCAGTTGTCCAGCACATCTTGCGTGTACTGTGTGTCTATACCCATGTCTTGGAAGAGATCACACCTGGATCTCGACCTCAGCTGGCCCCTCTGAATCCACAGGCTGCTATATCTCCAATAAAGGTAAAAAGAACTTGTCACTGTCCTGCCCTGATATTCTGTTGGAAATTAGGAGAGTAAGTTTTTTTATGAGTGACTTTAAATGAAGCAGTAGTTTAGAGTAGAATTATATTTTTGGGTAGTAAGAAGACTTTATAACCCAGGTTAAGTTATTAGATGAATAACTCCAACAAGTTATAATGATTGGTATTTAATGTTTAATCTTATAATTCTGGTACTATTCTAACCACAGAGAAGAACAAGAGCAGAAACCACAGGTGATAAAAATCGTACACACTCTCCAAGCAAAGGAGACAAAGGGGGTAAGTGTTGCGCCTGTCAATTTTAATGTGTATTTATATGAACAGTATGTCTACTTACTTTTATTTAAGTACAGATGTAGCAGAAATAGACATGCATGTAGATAGATAGGCAGAGCTAGAGTCTTGCTGCTTTTGTTTCTTTCCTTTCTAGTGTTGCTCTTTTTCAGCTTTCTGAATGATGGCAAGGATCCGTTTCTGTCAGTTAGATATTTCATATAGCCCAAACTAAAACAAATCTTCAAAGGAGTATGCGGCATAGATAGCATTATGAAAAGCAAACCGTGCCCTCTTATCTAAAACGTTTCATGTTATGTTACCAAGGTTATGTCAGGTCAACCTCTGTTTGTATAGGAGTCATATACATGTTCAGAAGGTATGTGTATCTTAGGTACTGCACTAGTCTTTTAGATTTGGTATAATACTGCAAAGTTTTATTGTTAGTACATTTCTTTTCTTTATTCCTCATCCTCCTTTTATATTCCTACTTCATCACTACCTGTCTCTCCATCATTCTTCTCCTCCCATCTCCTTTTCCTTCAATATTTTTCTTGTCCACCATTACTTTTTGTTTTTGTTAATCTTCTGTTGTATTTTATGCTAGTTTTATTACCCCACATTTTTTTTTTTTATAGACATGATAAAGGTTAAAGGTATTTCAAGTCCCACTCACTTTTGTAGTACTGAACAAATCTCACATTAACTTCTGAATTCTCTTTCTCCATCAGACAATGAGGAAAAGGAAAGAAAGTCATCAAAGCCAGGAGCTATTGGGTCATTTTTCCACCTCCCAGAGTACATTAAAATGTATGATGTGCTAAAAAATGCATATGCTAATTATAAGGTAAGTGAGATAATCTTTTCAGAATTACTGTGCTGTAAAATGAAGAATAGAAGTGTATATATATTTTTTTCATTATTGTTATTCATGACTATTCTTTATATCTAATAGATGTTTTAAGGAGAAAGAAAAAGAAAATGTGAGCAGATATCAAATGATGACTCAACTCCTCCCCCCCTCATTATTATTCTATTTATCTGACTATACTAAATTTTTTTGACTGATAGAGTTTCATATCCTCCATAGATCTCATTAGAAGAAAACACAATGGAGAAGCTGTGCGGATTGTTACGTGTCACCTTAACAAGCCTAGGAAGGATACTGGAAGTTGCCTCCATGCTAGAGTTTGGGAGGCTTGCTGAAGAAATCCTGCAGTATTTGAAGGTGGTGACATCTCTCCTTCCCACACTAACTGTGCAGTGTGGTCAGCAGGTGAGCTGAGTGTGGATTGAGGAATAGCAAAGAATTCTCTACTTTGAATTTATAACTGAACGAAAGAATGATTAGGGTTATGAATTCAAATGTCAGCATTTATATATACATTTGTTCTGTCACTGTATGATATGGAGAGGCAGAAGTAATGCTTAAATTTTGGATTACTAAAATGAATATTTTTACACACATTTCAGCTGTTAAAGTGCTTGTTTGGTTCAAATGTGATGGCACTCTTTGAGCACTTGGGCAGGAAGGGATCTGATCATCACTCAAGAGTGCCAGCAGATTCTATTGGTACTGGTGGTGAAAGTCTCAATGAAGGACCGGAAATTGTTAGTCTACATCAGCGTTGCTTCACCCAGCCTTTGTCCCAGTTAGAGGATGACTTGACTGCCATGTCTGAAGCGCGGCAGGACAGTGAACCTATTAGGTGAGAATAGCTCTTGTTTTTTTCATGTGGCATAATTTACTGTCATCATTTTCCTTACTGTTTTGGTGGCCACATGGAGTCTTGAAGAACGGTGTCTAGCATTCATGGAAGTTATCCTTGACTAACATTTATTTTATTTATTTTTTTTTTTAATGAAAATCACAAGATACTGATTGTATTCCTTTCCTTTTCAGTTTCACTCTTAATCAAAGAAAGGGAAGTTCTAGTCTCTTCAAGACCTTAGGAAGAGGAAATGACAAGTCATCTTTGAGTTCCTACATAAGGCTTTTTGAGCCACTAGTCATCAAAGCATTAAAGGTGAGCATTTTTTAATTTTGAGCATTTATTTCTATTCAGCTGAAATGACTTGGTATATTTATTATTATATCACATGTGTTTAGTTACAAGAAATAGTCCGTTTGCATGAGATAACATTTATATTTTTATTTACAGCTCTATACAGTGTCAAGTGATGTTATTATGCAACGGTCAGTGCTCCAGCTCCTAATCCACTTGGTGCAGATTCGGGTCAATTATTGTTTGCTGGACTCTGATCAGATATTTATAGGATATGTCATCAAGCAGTTTGAGTACATTGAGGAAGGACAAATTAAGTGAGTTTTAACTAGTCTGAATGAAATTTAATAATGTATTATTATGTAATGTGGCTGAGATGTGAAGTGAATGACAGTTGATGAAGCAACAAAATAGATATATGTGAAAACAATAATTTTTTCTCTTTACATAGGTCAGCAGAAGAGTTGATTCCTTCCATGTTCCGTTTTCTGGTGCTTTTGTCCTATGAACGACATCACAGCAAGAGCATCATTGGGGTTCCCAAAATTATGCAGTTATGTGACGGTCTTATGGCAAGTGGACAGCCGCCCCTCTCACACTGTAAGTTAAAATGATAAAGTTCTAGATACTGAACATAAAAAGTCACCAGAAAGTTAGGTGAAATAAGGGAAAATGCTCAACAGTTTAGTGCATTTACATTTCCTTAATATCATGAAGTAATTTAGCAAATGCCTCCCATTAGGTATACTGGCCTTACAGCCGCTGGTGGAAGACTTGTTTCTGGTCCGGAGCACAACGAGCACGACTGACCAGCGGGAGCTAGACACTCAGAGGGAGGTCTTGTGCTCTATGTTGCTCCGATTGGCTCATTATCACCAGGTAAAGTTTTGTTGGTCTGGGAATAATGGTACTCTGTATAGTACTTGAAGATATTTAATAATGGAACAGGAAAGAAAAAAAATGTCCTTAAATGTAGAGAAATAGGTATTCAGTCATGTAAAAGTTCCTTATAAATAGTGTCATCATTTGTGAATTTTGAAAGGTATTGCGCCTGATTTCGCTGGTGCTTGGAGCGACCATGGAGAGTAACAGGGAACGCTGGAGGAAACTGTCACGGCAAGTGATTGACACTCTTCTTCCACTCCTCTCCAAGCTACAAGTTAATCTGGATTCAGAGGTAAGAAAGACCTTTATTGTTTTTGTTAAAGTAGAAAATCAAAGAAGTGTTCCCCAAGAATAATTATAAAAATAATGATAATAATGATTATGATAATGATGATAATAATGCATAAGAATTGATTAGCATTAGTTGAGTGTAGTCATTTTTGAGTAATGTGTAATATGTGTAAACTGTGTTACAGGATTCTCTAGCTGCTGTGGAAGAAGTTATGAATGGTGTCTGTCCCAGTGTTTACCGGCCAGTCGACTGTGTACTCAAGGCTCTCTTCACTTCGCCTTGTGAATTGGTAGAGTGATTAACTTGATATTATGATAAATTATTCTTTCTCTTCCTTCTCCCTCTCTCCTTCCAACAAACTAATATTCATTTGTCTTACAGTTTCCCCTGTCTGATATGATCCTTGCTGTATATTTTAGATATGACTTGGTATATCTTATTACAAATAGAGTTTTAACATTTCATTCCCTTCCTCAGGAGAGCACAGTGGGTGTGGAACGCTGGGTGGGTAGTGTTCTGTTGCTGCTGCGGAGCCTTATCACCCATTCAACACCAGAGCTTGTCCTTGCACGCCTCGAGGAACTAGGGCTGAGTATGGACTATGTGCACAGCGATGTAACATCTGACACCTCCCCAGGACCTACACCAGGTGGATCAGAGGCTCTCTCGCCACAGGTCGGAGACCATGCCTCAGGCTTTAGAGATCCTCTGAATGTGACACAGCCTGAGACTCTTCCTCAAGTGGCAATGGCCAGGTATGACTTGGGAAGCATTCAGATGTGAATTGTATGGATTGGGTTATTTTGTTCTTTCTGATCTGCTGGTTTTATAATACTCCTAATTGTTTTGATTAATCATTATTACTAAGATTTTATTTGTTAGCCTGTGAAAGTTGTTTCACATATTGGCATTTCTTGACCAGCTTCAATACATTTATGAGCAGCAAAATGACCTTGTGGGCAATTGCTGTAAATCATGGATAAACATTTTAATTATAAGTCTGAATTTCTCACTCTCCAGATTTCTGCTTGAAGTAGTGCGAGTCAGTGTAAGTGAGATCAGGAGTGTGCGGCTGTCCCTGTTGAACAGTGGGCCTCCCCCTGATGGAAAAGGTGGCCAACACACTCCCTGCTTATTGGTACATTTGTCTCATCATCTGCTTCTTACCCTCCTGCATCTCACTATTTCTGGTAAGTTTATGCTCTGTCAGATACTAACTATGTACATGGAATGGAATTGGGAGAATGAATTTCCCAGTTTGCTTATATTAAAATCCATTAATAGTTATGCATTATATTTTTAATATAATGCATAATGTTTTGGAGATTTACAGTACATCCCTTTTTTCCTGATTTTAGGTCAATGGAGAGATGTCATCACCTCTCTGAAGGATATATGCGGTCGAGAGTCAGAGCTTATGGATGAAATAAGTGAAGCTTTGCTCTCTGTGTCTGGCTGGTATCCTCCTCTCACACTCTTGTGGTGCAAACTGATGACCTGTTTAGACCTGACTTCACAAAACCTCTGGACACGTGTCTTAAGGACTTGCCAGCGGAAATCAGTTACCAGTATCAGGTATTAATTTTCTGATTAGTCTTGTACTGTCTATGAAAATAAAGACCATTTTCTTAGTATATTATAAGTAGACTATCCATATTTTGTGCGATTGTCATTCTCACACTACTAGATATTACAATATGTAATTCTTGTATTTGTTCCTATTCCATGGTCTAAAAACACAGCAGCCCAGTGGTGAGTGAGGCTAGTGGACCCTCCAGCTGCCTTCCTCTGGAGTTCTTGAGAAGATGTGGATTGCTTGTCTTCTCTGAGTTTGTTGTGAGTACATCATTTGACATGTCAACTATGTATTCCCTTTGCCAGCAGATAAATGTATTGATAGGGCTTTGATTTAATGCCTAAATGATTCCAGGGTATTGCTGTGGTTGCTCTAATATTTCATAAGTATATTTGAACTAAAATCAGGTCAAACTAAAGGTTTTGATGTGAGTGTTCTCATGCAGCTGGCAGGATGTAAAGGCTATTGCAGACAGAGTTAGGATTTAGGGATGGTGGTGGGAGGGGACAGGTTTATGAGCAATGAACAGAAAGAACAAAGCCTACTGTCTGTTGATCACATGTCCACAGGTGTGTCTTGCTTATTGGAGGGGTATTATAGAGCAAATGCTTTGTCATCTATGAATTTCATTTCTCTTGTTATGCATATACACACAGAATTAGAATGCATCCTCTGTCTTAATAACTGAAGTTTGCTACATGTCATGTATGTGAACAAGGTTTGAGTCACTACTAAATCACAATTGAATTTTCCTTTTTCCAGGTTCGACACATGCAGGAAGGAGAGTGGCTGACATGGTTGGTCGTACAGCACATAAGTGATGTTGTTATCCTTCATAAGGAGCCACCAATTTCTACACTTATTCAGTCTATACACTCGTCACCTGCGGCCTCAGCTCTCCTCATTCAAGCCATCCATGCTCGTTGTGACCATGTGCAGAAGGTATTGGTCTCTGTAATACGTATCTAATATACTGACTTGATATAATGTATTAACAGCCATGTGGATTTTATGTATTTCATTGGCTAGCGGTTCTCATTCCATTTTTCTTTATACTTTTCTTGTTTATTTTAAAGTGAATGTTTTTTTTCTGTTGTTTTCCAGGCAGAATATGGGGGCCACATTATATCATTGGTGTCTGGAGTGCACATATCACAGTCTGGTGCCCTTATAACCTTTCTGGTGGAGCGGCTCCTTGCTTCACCCTTCTTGGCTGTCACTCGTGCTGCTTGTTCCCTGGCAACCCAGCGCCTTCACCTTCTTCTAGCCATGCCTCCAGGCCAAGTCCTTGTTCAGCTGCCTCTAGAGGACCTAACAAAAATTCTAAATTATATGAAGGAAAACAAACTGAACAAGAGGTAACACTTTATAAATTTGGTTTGTTTGTTTTTTACCTTATTCTTCTTAATTTTTTTTTAGTTTGTACGGGACTTATATGGGTATATTAAGCAATGTCATTGTAAATTATGTGAGTAAAACTGGTGATATGACTGTGCTGTATAATTTTTTCATGCTTTGTTGAAGTGCACAACACATTAGATAATTTTCTTATTTATTCATAGATGTATTTTCTATTTTAAGCTAACTTGTGACCTTAAACCAACAGATATGGGCAGATGCATGGCTTGTTGCAGAGGTTGTTAGGACAGGTACATGGCATTGCCAGTTCTCCATGCACTGAAGCAACTCCTATCAGCCCACCACTCCAAGGTCCTGCCAACACTCGACTAGATCTCAACTGGTACCTTCAACTTGTTAGAAACAGGTAAAATCCCAGTAGTTTTAAGTCAGTTAAGAAAAGGGCCCACTTCACAGTTTTTAATTTTTTTTTATTAGTAAGTTGGATTATTTTTCGCTTTACGGTTGAATGATATTTGTAATTTCCTCTGTTATGAATTCCTAGCCCTCATCACATCTTTCTTGTAGGTGCACCCAGGGGGAAGGAGGAGGCCTAGAATGCGGGCAGTTGCTAAGTCAACTGGAGTACAGTGAGATCATCAACATCATGTCTGGGAAGTCCTTCAACACGGGACTCCTGACTCACACTCTTAGGCTTGGACTCACCACCACTGTACAGGTAGTTTGAAATGAAGTGTTGATGGCTGTAGTGTTTTTCTTGTATTTTATCTTGGGAAAGGATAAGTTTTGTGTTAGATTTCTGTTGGTATTTTTTCCAACTGATTAGAATGTACTTTATTTCAATAGGCAAACAGGGACTGGGGTGAGTGCAATAGCTCAGTGGAGACAGGAGACAGTGAGGAGTGCAGCAGCGGCAGTGGCACTGGAGAAGCACCACTCTACACAGCTAGCAAAGTGATCCTCCTGCAGCACCTAGCACAGGTGGCAGGTTCTTTGCCAAGGCCACATCACACCTTCACCCCAGGTAATTCTTAGCACTGGTTCAGTAGCAGTGCAGAAGTGTATGTAGTTTGCAAGTACTAAAAGGTTGTGCAGTAGAGTAAATTGTGCCGTTAAAAAGAAAAAGGTACAGTAATGTCAGAAATAAAGAAGGAAGAAAAAATATATACATTGTCATATAAGTGCTACCTAGCTAGATCTTGTCTTTATTGTCTTAGAAAGTAGAGAGAGCCATTTATCTCTTACCATTTTCATATTTTCTGAACAGGTGGAGGTAACAAGTACAGTGAAAGAGTGTGCAAGCTCCTGTCTGGTGATGATGGTATTGGCAGTGTGGTGGATACTTTGGCGCCGGCGCTGATCGAATACCTCACTGCCATGACCCGCCTTCCATGGGGTGCAGAAATCCCACCAGATAGTTCTGAACACATCCTTCGGTTTGCTCTCCTGGCCATGGAGGTAAGAGAGCTTACCCTTGGTTTAGAATTTTATTTTTCTTCACATAATTAGCATTGAGTATTTTTAAAGCTATCAGAATCTCTTTGGGACTTATGGGAATTAAGAAGAAATTTCTGTTATTATTTATTTGGTTTATTGTCAGTACAAAGTATCATAATAGAAGGTTCATATGTTGATTTTATATATTTTGATCTTTGCATTTATGTTATATTATCACCAGTAGTTGTTATTACCACTGTCACAATGTAAATTTGTAAAGCACATTTGATATATTAGTAATTTCAAGTTACAAGGAGACAAATTTCAGAATCCATAAAAAATTAGTGTACATTTTATTGGTTGATATTATGCTTCACTATCACCACTGCCAATGTTTTTCCTTTCAGTATTTGCATTGGCAAGTGTGGTTAGGAAGTGTTAGCATAGAAGTAGCAAGTCTGTGCCTATCATGTGTGGACACAGTTCTACGCACTGGGTCTTTGGCAAACCTGATGGGCCTCTCGGAGAGAATATCATATGTGTGCTCTATGGTGGCAGCTCTCCATGCAGCAGCCTCACATCTCATCAAGCCTAGAGCTTTACCGAGGTATTGATGGTTCCTCGCTTATCAGTATAGTGCTTTGATTTTGGGATATAAAATGTTATTCACAGAAAGTAATGGTGGAGTCCTTGTTTTCTTTATCTTTGTTATTATGCTGATATGTTAATGGAAGTCCGTTTTCACAGCTTGCCAAGTGCTCTCAGCCATTGTTTGAATGATGGAGAGAGCAGTCCCTTGGTGGCTTGTCGTAGGCTGATGCAGCTGATCTCCTGGTTGGAAGCTGGCAGTGCACGAGATTTACCAGCCTGTATAGCACAGCCAATTAAGTAAGTAGTGTGGTTCTTGACAATGCAGATAGTTAGATGTATGATTTTGTTTCATTGTTAAGATGTTGAATATTCCTTTTCAAAAACTACTGTGTTGAGTGTAGTTAAAGAAAGATTCATATCTTTTAAGAATACAGATATCATCCCAGTGTTAAAAAATATCACACCAAAAAGTGGATATTCTTTTTAATATGAACACGATTGAAAATTATTTCAGAGGCATCATAATGGGTGTTGGCCGGATGCCAGTAGTGAATAGTGTTGTGAGAATACCTCCCGATGTGTGGACCCTTGGTTGGTCTCCACAGTTCTCAGGAGAAAATGGCACAACCTTACCACCAGTCCACAATGATCTCTTACAGGAGACAGATGTTTTGAAGCAATTTGTGTTCAGGTTCGTTTTCTTTACTGGGTTTTCCTTTAAACTTGTGCTTGATATTGTATGAATGTTTAAATTGTATGGTATTATTTGTAGTTCTTCTCTGAGAAAAGAATACATTTCATTAATTTGATTAAAGAAATATTTAGCTGTGCTGGAAGGTTGAAGTTGTTTATTTGTATTTGTGTATATATCATCATGTGAATATTACTGGTGTGGAAATATTCTAGACTGGAATTGTTTGGCTGGATTGGGCGACATCAATTTGAAGAGACGTGGATGGCCCTGTTATGTGTCCTGAACTCTACTCCCAGTGAAAACACTCCAGCTGAAGAACTCCCCTTCATTAACTTGGTAAGGCAGGATTCCTCTTATTTAACATTCTTAAAAAAAAAAAAAAAAAAAAAAAAATCATAGTCCCTAGATAGAATTTTGTTATAGGAACTTGTGTGTTAGGACTCTCTTCTCCATCCTGCAGAGTTTATCACTGGCTGTGAGAGGGATTACTGCCCTGCTGGTACAGACTTTGCTGCTTCCACTTCCGGGCAATCCCCATAGTGGACACCTGTTGAATATCCCACGAGATAAGCCACCCCCTTACCTAACCTCTAAGTAAGTGGCAACAGGTTATTTTTTCCTGATACCAAATTTCTACATTTTGTTTTCTGTAAATAAATACAGTATGAAATTTGCTTTCTTTTTGTAACTTTAAATGTGATAATAATCTATGGCTTGCACAACAGATGTAGAATGTGTGTGAATGATGATGAATGTCTTCACAGTCATGAATATCTTCACAGTGCAAGAGATTTATTTGAATATCTTCTTAGTACAAGAGATGTATTTGATCACATGTATTTCTGAAGGAGATATAATCAAAATTGGTTACAAATATGGTACATCTCTTGCACTATGAAGATATTCATTATAATTCATACCTTTCCTATAAATTATGCCTTATGAAGTGTTTTTTTCTTATTTTTGGCTGTTATTGTATACATCCATTTCATGATCTTGAAATCATTTTAGGTCTGGAAGGAAGCTCCAAGAGATCATGTTCCGGCTCCATGAGAGGTTAAGAGAAGTTCATCATCTGATCAAGGGAGGGCCGAGGCAGACACCTAGTTACCAGCTGAGTCAGGTGTCAGTTGAGTACCTGGTCACTGCTCTCAATAGCCATGCTGAGCCGCCAGACTCTCCTGAAACTGTCCTTCAGACAGGTGTGTTTCCTTGCCCCTTCTATGGGGCATGCATAGGTGGAATTGTACTTTCTTACATTTAGGAGGTGAAACTACAGTGTAGATGTGATAAACTCCTTCCCTTGTGAAAGATCTAGTGCTGTAATTATGATGTAAAGGTATAAGAACATTGTATTTTTAATGTAGTTGTGACTAGTTTGCTTAACTAGTAGTGTTGTCTAAGGGAATAGCCTCAGGTCTTATTAGATAAAAGTGTTGCATGGAGATTTGTGGTGAAGTAAAGAAATTAATGCTCTTTAAAATTTTCAGGTTGTTATGAATTTGAAGTCCGGGAACGGCAGCTAGCAAGCTGTGGTTTAGATGTACAGTCTTGTCTCCACACCCTGCATTACTTGTACTCTTTATGGCTTCGACCACAAGTAAGTTACACAAAGCTCCGCAGGTTTTCAAAGTTACTCAAAAGATGACTCAAAAGTTTGATCTCGTAGTTTGAAAGATTGTTATTGTTAAAATTATTTGAAGTCAGATATCATCCTGATATGATTACTCATAAAATTTAAATATTACTCTACTTTTTCACACTATAAAAGTTTCATGATTAGGTATTCCTCTAAAGTTCATTACAGGGGAAATGAGGGTTCATCTGCTTCTAAGGCCTAAGTGTTGGCTC